ACCAAGGATATATATATATATATATATATATAACAAATTATCGTCAAAAGTGACGTAAAAAATGTATACACATTAAGATTTTTTAGTGTACATTTAAGAAAAACTGTTAAAACTAAACCCAATCCTACTGAAAAAGGCGGAAGAAAAGCATTAAAACTAGTTTGATTGCAGCAGAGATGCCAACTGCTCCGGACAAGGCAAAATAATTAAAAAAAACGGTAAATAAGCACAAACTAAATTTTGTAAATATTTGACTATTTTTGCTTGCTTTTCAAACGGTATAGCATGACTAAAGTACTATTAAGTGGTAAATTATATAAACTTACGATTTATTTAGAAATAGTGGTGGATAAAAATATACTAAATTGGACTTATTAAATCAAGAATCACAATTAATAAACTACCACTTTAAAATATCAATTTGCTGTCCGGAGCAAGGTGGCATCTCTGTTGCAGGATCAAGTAGACTTTATTATAAAACCAGGGTTGAGCAACCTTACTATTGCTTGGGTTTACAACTATCAATGTTTGATTCCATAGTCTTGTAGTTTTGAACCCAACCTGGAAGGCAAAAAAACTTTTAGAACAAGCAGTGATAAAACTAGTTGTGGTGGACTTTTTGATGGAACTAACCTTCTTTTGTGTTGCACGGGGTTCCCTCGGTTAAACCGACGTCAAAGGGATGAAAATGTTTTACATCAACACTGAGAACAGCCACGAGTCAATTCGTATCTATGTTGTGATTTGAACCAGGGTTCTCTATCCCTAAACCACTACGGCTATAATCAAGTAGGTTTTGCTGTCTTCACTTCCCTCAAAAAGATAATAAGTTTGTTTTTGATGGCTTTTTTTAATGTTTTTCCTCGTTTATAGTTCCTGGCCAAATTGCTAGATAAGATTCTACGCAAAATCTTTATTTTCAGGTGATACTATACAGCTTTATTGTTCTTACACGACCGAAACCGGTTTGCACTTGTTTACGTTTGTGTATCAATGGGTTAAATTGGACGATATATAATACAAATTCGA